TGCACAGGATCCTCCCTGCAGGGCAGGCAGCCCATTCCTGGCCCCACACACGCAGTGCTGGCACCCCAGAGCTGTTACCCAGCAGCAGAGGAAGTGCTCTTGCATAGTTCTGAGGCCCCAGGCACGACCTCTGCGTGGCTGTGAGATGGGAACAGTGCCCAGAATCACATCCCTCCCCTCCTGACAGCCACCACTGACTCAGCTGCTTTCACAGCCCAGCTGATCCAAAACCACTCCGGAGGAAAGGGTTCCTTCCCAGCCAGGCTGGGCTGCCAGCTTCCCTTTGAAAGGCTCTGCAAACCCAACCCCAGCTCCTGACAGAGCAATTCTCTCCTGGATCCCCACTCCTTGGTCACTTGGGGCAGACACAGAGGTGTTTTCCCAGAGGGATAACAGATCCAGCTCTGTTTGACATAAAAATCTCATCCATTCTTTTCTCCAGCCCCATTTGCTAAATTTAGCTGATCAATCACCACTGAAAGTACAGGAAGCGGATTCCCCAGTGTAAGCTTTTCATTTGGGCAGCCTCAACAGGGAAATTGTTTGGTTGTGAAGGGAAGGGGAAGTGCTCACAGAATGACCTCTTGGTTTGGGTTACACCATTTTTATGAATGTCTGAGATGTGGGAAGTTCCCCAATTAGCTTCAGGTTTCGGGAGGTTTGTGCTCTCACAGTAATCTGGATAAATGGAGGGCGTTCAGGAGCTGCCAGAGGATGTATTGGAAGTTTTAAGGTGTTTTTGGAAATGCTCTTTGATGGGCCTGGGAACACTTTTGTTTTAAAATGACCTTTGAAAGCTCTTTGAAGAAGGCACAGCCTTATTCCTCATGTGCCTTGTGCAACAGCGTGGGCAAGGGAGGCTTGGTCTGTCCCTGGGATCAGGAGGTGTTCCTGCAGCAGGTGTGGGCCTAGAAACAGGACTACTTCTTATTTCTTACCCTTTATCAATGATGTCCTCTTTTAGTTTTCAGATGGGAAACATTTTCTTATCAGGTTTAAAAATAACATTTTAGTTATAGAAGACCAACACTGAAAGCAACATGCATAAGAGAGTTTTAAAGCACAGATTGTAGCAGTGATGTGATGAACGTGTTCCCTTCCTAAAGGCAGACCAACCCCTTATCTCAGCTCTTCTCTGCTTGTTTCCCCTGGACAGGATCCCTGTTTTCGGCTCTGAAGCCCCCTGAAACGATCTTCAAGGTGATTTTCTGGCTTGGCTACTTCAACAGCTGCTTGAACCCCATCATCTACCCCTGCTCCAGCAAGGAGTTCAAGAGGGCCTTCATCCAGATCCTGAGGTGCCAGTGCCACCGGCGCAAGCAGCTGGGCTGGTGGCCCTACAGCTACCGCACGTGGAAGCGCTG